GGTGCTGAGCTGACGGAGAACGGTGATGTCCAGGGCCCGGGCACCCCGTGCTGAGCTGATGGAGAACGGTGATGTCCAGGGCCCGGGCACCCCGTGCTGAGCTGATGGAGAACGGTGATGTCCAGGACCTGGGCACCTGGTGCTGACGGAGAACGGTGATGTCCAGGGCCCGGGCACCCGGTGCTGAGCTGATGGAGAACGGTGATGTCCAGTTCCTGGGTACCTGGGGCTGAGCTGATGGAGAACGGTGATGTCCAGGGCCCGGGCACCCGGTGCTGACAGAGAACAGTGATGTCCAGGGCCTGGGCACCTCGTACTGAGCTGATGGAGAACGGTGATGTCCAGGGCCCGGGCACCTGGTGATGAGCTGACGGAGAACAGTGATGTCCAGGGCCTGGGCACCCGGTGCTGAGCTGACGGAGAATGGTGATGTCCAGGCCCCGGGCACCCGGTGCTGAGCTGACGGAAAACAGTGATGTCCAGGGCCCGGGCACCCGGTGCTGACGGAGAACAGTGATGTCCAGGGCCCGGGCACCCAGTGCTGACAGAGAACGGTGATGTCCAGGACCTGGGCACCCGGTGCTGAGCTGACGGAGAACGGTGATGTCCAGGGCCATCCTCCTTTTGGGCAATTCAGCCCTCCTGTCAGTGCTTCCACTGACCAACAACCCAGGGAAGCTGCCTCACATCTCCAAATGTAGCAGCAGCTGGAGCCGAAAGCTGTTCACCTTCTCAGGGCTACGGGGTTCTACACACTGAAGGTTCATGTGAAATAGAGGAACAGGAAATGGAGACTCTTCTCTTCCGATCCTCTTTATTTATTTTAGAGATGAGATCTCTCTATGTTGCCCAGGCTGGTCTCGAACTCTTGAGCTTGAGTGATCTTCCCACCTCAGCCTCCTCCAAAGTGCTGGGATTACAGGTGAGGGCCACACGTCCAGCCTTCTCTTCCGATTCCCTAAGGCTCAACAGATGCACGTCCCATCCACTGTTTCCTTGCCCAAAGGCCACTCTGCTTCTGCAGGTCCAGCCCCGCAGGGCCTAGTGGGTGTTCTTTTGTGAGAAGATGCATAGATCGTAGAAAAGAAAGACACGAGACATAAGAGAAGAATTCAGCTGGGCCGGGGACCACGGCTGCCAGCGTCGGAGTCAGCAGTGGCCCCGAATGCCAGGACGCACCGACATTTATTGTATACAGGGCGGGGGCAGGGCTGGAGAGTGACTCATCTGACATGATTGGCAGGGGTCGAGCAAATCACGTACTGACAATACAGGGGCCACGTGGGCACAGTTCAGGGGGTCACGTGGGTAGAGCACAGAGGGCCCCTCCCTCTCAGGTAGCCGCTGCAAGGAGGGGAGGCACCTGCGTCAGTGTCTTTCTATCTCTTATCAGACAGATCAAAGGCTTTTAGGATTCCTCTATTCTTACTTCTCACAGCTTCTAAGAACTTACAAGGGAGCATCGGGTGGGAAAGTGGAACATGAAGGTGGACAAGGATGGTGACCGTCGGAGCACAGCACCACGGAGAGGTGTTTAAGCCCCTGGATGTCTGCGGGCGGCCTGGCAGGGTCAGACCTTCCTCAAGAGCCGGCAGAGCAGAGTTTTCTCTGAACTCTGCAGTGAGAGGGAAACTCCCCCTCACGGCCTGTTAAGCAGTGGGCACCTCCCGAGATGCTGGCCTTACTGCAAGGCCTTCCTGCTAAGTAACGGGCGCCTTCCCGGGC